GTTCTATCTCCACGACTGTTTACAACATTGTGGAGTACTTTACAACAGACGTTACGACGCAGACCCAACCGCCGGCACAAACCCAGCCACAGTTTTGATAATATTAATTTTTAACTAATCAAATAAATATCATACTTACCCATTTTAATGAATTAGAGTCTCACAAAACACGACGGCAAGTCTGATCACGTATAAACAAGAGTCATTTTCCGCTTCCTGTTCTCAGCTCACGTGTGATGCTGTGACTAATGCGCGACTTTCTAAGAAGCGCTCAGCGGCTCTTCCTGTGTGATCACATGACTTCTCAAAATCTTCACCTCCAGTGGGCCCCAGGCTTAAGTCTACTTCCTTTCTGGTCGGCTCATGGGTCCCCAGAAGAATGAAAATATAATGCAAATCAATGAGGCTAAATGAGCTATCTTCTCATCCGCTTCACCTTACTCCCTGGATCGCACATATGTTGTACTTCTATTTAAATGAAAACTCATGATGTGTGTTTTGATCATACCTGTCACACACTTTGAAATTTATCAGCTTGTAATTAGCATGACTACAAATCAGATGTTGGTCCGTCGCATATATGACGTCACCAAGGAACTTCCTCTCCCGTAGAGTAGCTGCTACTTACCTAATGGCACTCTTTATAGAGGTTCTTTCCTCCTGAGAGAAGAATTAGAAGTTTGCTGAACTTACAGCCATTTTACCTCTGCTTTTCTCCATGTCTGGTTTGATGACATCACTTTGGTTATGTGCATTTGGAGTCCTCGACTTATTTTCACACAAATCCTAAAATACCCCCCTCCCCCCCTTTCCCCCAATACCGTTTGAAAATAGTAGGCATCAAACTGCGTCTTTAAAATTCAAGGACATAATATGTGAAACCCATGGCACATAATAATGGGATTAGAAAATTGCATTTTTTTTGCCCCATTGACTTGCATCGTTTTTTGCATTCTTCCAAAGACCCTTGGTCCAGAAGTAGATGGGTTTGACTTCCTATATTGAAAGCTCTTGTTCTAGTTGCTGTCTTTTGATTTAAAAAAAAGTTTCTTGAGTTCATCCTCTTCCTTGCCTCAATTACCTGAGGTAGTTGACTCAAACTTTGGTATTTTAAACATCTGCGTTCTGGGCTTTACAGGCAGGAAATCGGATCTTGAGCGACAACACTACCTTTTGGCAAAGTGAGCAGCCCGGACACACACACACACACACGCACACACACACACACACACACACACACACACACACACACACACACACACACACACACACACACACACACACACACACACACACACACAGCACCGCATCACTTGTGCAGCTTCCTGTTGCCAAGTGTTGACACAGGGTCTGTGTGGCACAGACTCACATAGGTGGGCTGTTGTTTAGCTGAATTTAGGCCATGCCATATTGGCTCTAGCGATAACGGAGAAGATTATTCTGTTTTACCGGAGAAACCTCTGTCTCCAAGCAACGGTCTGAACCGTGTGTATGTGTGTGACAGGAGCATGATAGTGTTAACACTTTTTATGAAATTTGGATAAGTGGAGGCTGAGATCGCCATTTGTAAACAGTTTTTGTTTAAATAGCTTTCTGCTTTTCTTTTTCAGCCATAATGTTTTAGGTACTCAAGCAATGTCTTTGTTTCCTGTCTGAAGTGCTATTTTATATAGTAAACTTAGGTTTTTACACTAAAAGTCTGGTATGGATAAATCCAAAACCCTTAAGCTATATTGTAGAAAAAAAGTAGATTTTACAATAAAACGCCGGCAGCTGGGATTGCTGGAATGGTACCATAAAGTAACAAGCAAAACGTTTTACTTTTTCCTTAAGAATTGATTTTTATTCTTTTAAAGTAAAAAATGGTACAGACGTCCAGTATTTTACTCGAGAAGAAAATGTTTTTACTTGGGGAAAGAAAAATATTGCTTTACCGGAACAATACGGTAAAAACATTTTTTCCTATTAAAACCAAAAATCATAGGGTTTTCCTCATTACATACAATCAATTCAGAATGAAATAACCAATTAATTGCCATTAAGGTCATACTGGTTATGAAAGCTGTTCCTGCTTAATTACTGTTCATGTCTTTCAATTTCACTTGTGCCAGGGTATCCGCGGGTCCATAAAAAGTCTTAAATTTGGCTCCCTTAAACCTGCAGATACCTTGTGCGTAGCAGTCAAAGCGTTGTCAGTAATGACATTAGTATTGAACAGTAGCACAGCCTTCACGTGCATTCACGAGTCAGGTCAAGAACAGACACTTCCCTCTGATTAGTGATTCAGCCAGATCTCCTAAATGCCGCCAAGCACAGTGGAAATCAGTAAGTAAACTCCTTACACCATTACCAGCTATAAAAAGCTGTATGTTTTTCAATAAATACATTTAAAAATCATAATGCTTTACCGTTATAAACTTTAAAGAAATTTTCTGTAAAAAAAATGCAAGAGTGCCTTACAGTAGAATTATGTTTTTTTTTTCAAAGAAACAAATGTACAAATTATTGTTTCGACCAATTGAGTTATATGCGGCACCTTCACATAAAATCAACAGTTTTAGATAGTTTTATAGTTGATGGGGTTTTCCTGTCATGGTTTTACAGTTTATCACTGCTAAATATACGGCAATTTTTTATAATGTACAAAAAAAGAAAAATGAAATTCTGCCTTTAAAGAGATCTGTCTCCTATTCCTACCACCTTATGTAGTCTTGTAGCGATATAGTTCAGCCTGTTTGTGGGTAATTTGAGCAATATGTAGTAAAGTGGGGTATTCTACTGCGCAACAGGTCAATTTCTATGATTACGGCTAACTTCCTTTTCAAATCCACTACCACCTGACCCAGCTGCTGAAAAATAATGAGGTTTTGTCCTTATGTGGGTTTGACTCCTACTGTGCCCCATACACAACCAGCTGCCTGGTGATGGAAGTGTGAACAGATTTATTACAATAGGTAGTTATGTCTAGACCAGGGGTGAAATTATGCCACGTCTCACCTTTATGTTAATATTGTTTATTTGATGCACTCTACTTTGAACTGCACCAAAATAGCTATAGCTGTATAATCCTAAATGAAGTGTAAATTCTCTAGTGAGGAACATTACAATTGATTCGTTTATTTTTTTATTTTTTGTCCAGCTCTTATAATATTATTAAAACCATCATCACATTGGAACATTAACTCCAAAGGGTCAAGTTTATTCTGTGACTCGTTACAAAAAAATAAAGAGAGGTGGTGAAACTGCTCTTTCAGTTGTAAATGAAGCAGACCCCTGCTCTGTGTTTTCCCCACTGCTCCACACCTCCCAAGAGGCACGTGCTCATTACAAGCTCATGCCCGACACGCTCTGCTCGTAACAGAGCTTTTATTCGGACCGAGTCACTCGCATAACTCGTCATTGTCAGTTCTCTTCCGTTTCTCATTAAAACCACAGTTTAATGTTCGGTTCATCCTTTCTCTTCAGAATCGTTTTTTGTTTTCTGCCACCTTCTGAACAACAGAATTTGCTACATTGCTAATGTTGCTGTTCAGTTCTTCTTTTAATGAGAATGGCAGACTAACGGCAACACGGGCTCGTTGCTGCCTCCATCAGGTCAACTGTATAAATAACGCAGCTTTATCTTCATATTTGATACCCGCCACTGTGATGTGTGCCAATTAACCTGCCACTTCATGCATTTACCCGCATTTGGCCGGTGACGGGTGCTAATTGTCACACCCTGTCCTGTCTCCCCATTTGGTTCAGCCTGCGTCTCTATTAATTGCTCCCACCTGCCTCTCGTTTTCCAATCGCCCAAGCTCCCAGCCCTCTTGTATTTAAACCCCTTCAGTTCTGTGTCTCTTGGTGGATCATTGTTTCATTTTCCAGTGTGTGTTCATCATTAAAGGCTTACTCGTTCTGGTTTGTCTGCCTGCCTGCTTCCCTCACCCGCATGTGGATCCTTGCCACCGCTACACTCACCGGCACGCGCTGACACTAATTTCCACCCTTGGTTTATACCATCTTCCACCTTAAATGTTATTTTTGATTGTTAATAAATAAATATATCAGTTTTAAAACACAAGTTATTCTCCTTGTTTCTTTTATTGCCAGTGTATGTTTATGTAGTAGAGTCCACCTTAATATACTTTTATTTTGTAATAGGGATGTAAGAAAATATCTATATGGCAATATATTGTGATATTTTTTCCAGCGATATTTTATCGATATATAGTTAGTTGGCAGCAGTGTGCAATGACTTTTGTTTCCATCATTGAAATGTAAATCTCTCTATTATGGTACAGATAGCTCATATTAAACATGTTTAGTATCACTTTGGACTATTTATTACATTTTTCTATATTAAATTCAGTCTAAAAAAATCACTAATATCGTCTGGCTGAATGTATCTCAATATATCGTATTGTCTCCCCTTTATCGTGATACGTATCATATCGCCTTCATTTCACCAGTACACATCCATATTTTGTAATAAATCCCAAAGCCAGTTTTAAATCTGTCAGGTCCAGATGGGTTTCTTTGGTTTTGTGCATGCTCATCACAGAGATGAGCCCTTGACTTGAACTTGAGTTGCACCAATAAAAAAACTCCCAATATGACTTGAACCCACCATCTAGACTTGAGACTTGACTTGGATCATTGCTGCAGACCCCTGGTTTATAACTGGAGTGACTGGTGGACTAGATGGCAACAATCTGATAGAAGATTAATTTCAGTCATTAGTGATTTAAACCTTGACTTGGACAAGGAAAAATCGAGCTGTGGCCATTTCTGGTACATTTTTTGAATCTTGGTAGCTCTGGTTTTTGAGCTTTTGGCACGTTATAAGTTTAAACAACTCAGCAACAGCATTCTTAGAAGTCTTGCACTCTGGCGAATAAGAACAACTTGATTTTATGATAATCTTTATGTTAATCTCACCACACTCGCTCATTTTTCCGTTTGCTTCCTCCATTCAGTTTTCACAGTTTCTTCTCCTGTGTTTTTCCTTTTGGCAGGCCTCATCGCAGCAGCTGAAATTCACAACCTCTGACTCCTGTGACAGGATCAAGGATGAGTTCCAGTTTCTTCAAGCACAATACCACAGGTGCTCACTCACACACTCAGATCTGTATCGATACACACACGATCGAGCGTGCACACACACATCCCAACCCAAAAGCTGTAGCTGTACTATGTACACAGTAACTTAGACCACACGCTGCTTTGTGATCAAGGCAAATGCGCAGTAATGTCCATGTATTTGCTCTGTTACAAATGTTAATGTTTCATTTTACCTCACTCTGTTACATTGTTAAAAAAGGCACCCCTCCTCTTTAATGGACAAGTTTGTTACAAAGCCAAAAAGGACTACATTAGCTGGATACATTTGTGAGCACAAGTAATTTTTGTGTACAATTTATTATTGGTTCCGATTCCGATACCTGAATTTGGATTTCTACCGATACCGATATCATTTTGATACTAGAGGAATATTTGTTTTAATGCCAGTATGATTATTGTTATGGTTGATTTTATAAGGCTATAATAAACTGTTTTCTACAAGAATAATATGTAATTGTGAGAAAGCCCTACAAGTAAGAGCCCAGCACCATGTCAGATGGAGTTCAGATGGTGCTCGCGCGGGTGCACACAGTGAGCTGCTCATCTTCTTCACGCAATGAAACCTTGCATTTTATTGGCTTTTATGTATTTTTGTTGTCTCTGATGCTTTTTTTGAATGGTATGGCTCCTCTGGTGACTTATCGAGCTGCGCTGCTTAGGCTTCGTCCTCCTGTTGATGTAGCGGCCGCTGCGCTGGGAACCTCACAGATGGCGTTGTTGTTTGGACTGCCCGTGTGCTTTCTCCCCCAAGCTGTGATGTGTCGGCCCTCTGTCCACCCCAGCTCAAGAAGGAAGCATCGTAGAAGACGGGGAAAGCAATGTAGTCGGCGCATGAGACGCCTGGACTTCCTAGATCCCTGAAGAAGCGGCTGGTCCGATTCGGCCCAGCTTGTGACCCGGTGGTTCTGAGATGTCTGATGGTTTACTCTGCACCCTGCCTGCTTTCTTCCAGGGTGGTGCTCCCCCCTATCTAGTCACACTCCTGAACAGACATTCACCATCACACGCTCTGCGCTCCTCTGACCAAGGCCTGCTCGCTGTCCCTCGTTCTAGGTGTCGTACTTGCGGGGACCGGGCTTTCTCAGTCCTAGCACTGTCACTCTGGAACCAGTTGCCACCCTCAGTTAGGCTGTCCCCATCTCTGCCCGTCTTTAAGAGTCACCTAAAAACCCACCTCCTCTGCTTGGCGTTCCCTGAACGTGTTTGAATTTGGCCCTCTTATATGTTGATTTTATTTCCCTGTTTTCATTGGTCTCTTTATCCCTTGTTTTACCCATTTGTCTTCTACTTCAATGTTTTACCTTTTTTGCACTATTTGAATTGCATCATGTTTCACATTTCTCATGTACCATGTTCAGCACTTTGGGCTTCCCGACAGGGAAGGCGCTTTATATATAAAGCTTTGATTGATTGAGTGATTGATTGATGTCCCAAAAGATTAGTTGAGATAATGAGGTCAGAAAACAACAAAATGTCTATCCTAAAAAAAAGCAACTGTAGTGTTTCTAATTGAAATTTATTCTATTTCAAGGCAGGGTTACTGGATACAAGTGCAATATGCACAATCAAAGAAACAAATCAAAGAACCAAACAGCCCAGGTCCAAATGATCACACTAGGCAGTAACACATTTTTTAAGTGTCAAACATGAAATGAAAAGGGTAAACTTCCATAAAGCTACTCCAAATAAAATGGAGGGCTGCTTCATCCAATCCCCAGAAATTAAGTTCACTGTCTTTTGTAGCATCAAAAAAGTAGTTTTCAAGTATAAAATCACACTATCAAAAAAATGTGCATCTGAAACAAATTCAGTAAGTCCTTGCTCATGTAGCAGTAAAAGAATAGTTTTCAAATGTTAAACTTTTTGAATTATAAAAGTGCAATAAGTGCACTGTAAACAAACAGCAACAATGTGCATCCGAAAAGTACAATTCAAGCATTGGAGATTTTGCATTGAAGGTGACCTGGATAAAGTTAACAGTCTGTCAGAGTCTGGAACTATTCTTGAAAACAAAATAAAAAGTTAATGCGTGAGGTACTTACATGTTGTTCATCTAATCTCACTTAAACAATGACAGGTTCTTTTTGAGGAATGTAAGCATTTCTGCTCTTTCTGCTGCAGGCGATTCTTTTTTCATCCACAAAATTGGATGCTGTACTAAACAGTCTTTCACTTTCAACACTCGTTGAAGGAGCACTCAGGAACTTTACTGCAACAGCAGCAAGGAGAGGAAAGCGGGCATGGTTGTCTGCCCAGTACTGGAAAGGGGTGTCTAGCTCACCTATTGTTGGTTCTTTCAAGTACATTTGCATCTGGATAACTGCTGCCTGGGTACCTTGTGCAGGTTCATCATGTTCCTCCACAATTTTGTCATACAGACTGCTAAAGCTACTCTTACTTGTGGTTGGAGGAGAACTAGCATCCACGTGAGCAACCCTTTCTGCTGGCTCTGGTTCTGGCTTCCTTGTCCCCGCTTTGTCAGCTGATGCCTTGGCCAGCGCTCGCTCCATCTTCTCAAGCTCTTGCTTGAGGAGATCCTTTGCAGTCCTGGCAGATTCTCCCCCTGTAAAGAATCTGACACAAAAAACAAAATGGGTTGAGTACAACTTTATTTGTTGCTGCTGCAAGAGCCTGGCCTGCCTGGATTCACACAGACCCATAGAGATAATACACATTATATTTAAACTTGGACAATATTAATAATTAATGCATTAATAAAATATGCCTCACCTGTCCTTGTAACGAGCATCCAGTAGAGTGGTAACAGCGTAGAGGGATTAACTTCAGATGCTGCTGAATCGCCTGTTGACAGCTTGGAGGAGTGTGCTGTTCATTGTTTTGATGCCGTTATCGGTACTGTTCTCCTCGGCTAGCAGACGTTTTAAAATGGTGACGGCTGGGATATTATCTGCTGCAGTGGAGGTCTCCTTGAACGGTTCCAGCACGGTCACAGTTTTTTCCAGTAAACCCCACTCGTTGGCTGATAAAGTTCCGGGTAAGTTGTGGTCGGTAGCATAAGCACAAAGAACTCGCTTCTCAGTCAGAAGGCGCTTGACCATGTAGAAAGAGCTATTCCATCTTGTCTGGACGTCTTGAACGAGACGAGTTGGAGTGGATGTGGTTCCCGCTCCCTGCATTTCACGCTGCAGGTCTTCCAAGCGAGACTGTGCCAGTTGGGAATGCTTGAAATGTGCGACAATCCTTCGGCTGTTCGCTAATACATCGCTAACACTGCGTTGCGACATCAGCCCTTCATGCACTACGAGCTGCAGCGTGTGAGCAAAACATCCCAGGCTAGGAACTGCCATGTCTACCAAAGCGGCTTTCACGTTACTTGCGTTGTCCCGTAGAATGACGCTCACCTTTTCCAGAGGAATCCCCCAGTTATTTAGCATCTCGACAATGGTGGCTGCGATTGTAGCTCGGTTGTGTGAACCCCGGCACTTTTTGACCTGAAGCGCAACAGAAGCCATGTGTCCCGGAGTCAACCCAGTGCATTGTAAGACTTATCAGTGACATTGGGCAGACATCTGAAGTCCAAATATCTGTAGTGAAGCTCAGGGCTGGAACTCCTTTCAGCTTCCTGGCTAACTTGGCTGACACTCGGTTGTATAGTTCAGGTAGCGCTGTCTCTGATAAATATGTCCTGGAGGGTAAACTGTACCTTGGCTCCAAGTGTTCAATCAGGCTGCGAAATCCCTAATTTTCCACCACTATTAGCGGTTGGTCATCAAGTGCAGTGATGTTGAGCAGCTGTTCTGTAATCCCCATGGCTTTAATGTTGTCTGCGGGGAGTTTACTTTGCTTCTTGAATGACTCTAGTAGCGATTCTTGGTGTCGCTTTTCTCCTTTCTGCCCCCTCGTTAAAAACTCCTCGTGCTCCCTCGGGTGGTGTTTTTTCAAATGTTTGATTAAATTAGTAGTGTTGAAAGTTGCGACGTAGGTTCCACCTCTTGGAACAACAGCTTTCAAACATTGCACGTTGCTGTCTTGCTTTGCGGAGCTTCCAGGGTAAAATATTTCCACACAGCGGACATTTTGTGTACAAAAGTTTGGCACTGCTCATGCTAGCCCGCTACCTGTAAACTGCTGTGAGTGGACTTCCTGAAAGGAGCCGCTTCATCTCTCTGTGCCTTCGGGGCACAGACAGCGCCTCCCAGCCCGGGATGTCTTATTTAGACATTACACAAGACATAATTCTGGATCGGAAATTTGTGCAGGTTGGGTGGGAATTTTCCGATCCGTGATTTAAGTCCGTATCCGAGCCCGATTCCGATACTGGATCGGATCTGCCCCATCCCTAGTTCTAGGTGCCTACCTCCAGTTGACTGTGTAGCATTTGTATTAACAGGTTATACAATTAATTGAAAGTTGTTTGATACACCCAAAGAAAGAACTCTTTGAATGAACATAAAAAATCATCAATTTCCACATGATTAAGTTGCTTTAGTTTAGCATCATATATTTCTGTTATTCTAACTTGAAGTGCTTGTGTTGAGCCAAAGTAATTTATCAAGGTTGAGTCAACTTACTTACTTAAAACTTTACTACATTTGGATCTTGTTTAATTTGATAGGGTCAACTAAACTAATTTGAAACATTTTGATCCAACTTAAATCAATAAGTTTGGTCTTACTAGATCTCCACATTTGCACCCAACTTGATTTAATAAAGCCGAGCTAACTAATTTTACAGTAGTAGACTAACATTAGTAATTGACATTCATTATGCAAATTATGTTAGCCCAACAAAAGTGGTTCATGATGAAAGAAGGTTATTTAATCACGTGACAATCCTTTCCATTACTTAATTATGTTAACTCAAATAATAGCTTTTACGTTCAACAAAATACAGTCTCAGAGTCGAGGATGGAAATGAGACAACAAGGTGCAACAAAATTGTATTTTAAAGTTAAATACAGAACAACAGTGGTGGTGCATTGGCAGTTTTTTCTGAAGTCAACATTTCACAGGATTATATTTG